TCATACCTCAGTCTCTCCAATTCATAATAGGCAAACTCTTTCTTGTACAAATATCCCCCACATTGTTAAGCAGTTGCCGAATACATAACTGTAATCACAGATTAATCAGTAATAATCAAGCATGGAGACCTATATTTGCAACTCCTCCAAAACTGCAGGAAAAAAAATCGCTTTTTTCTCTGACTTCTACTACTATACTTTCTCAACCCAAAACAAACCTGCCTTTTTTTCTGATTACAATGGAGTTCTTGTTCCTTTTTTGCCCACACCTAATGTTAAAATTTCACGACTTTTTTTTTTTTTACTCTCAGCAGGTATAATCAATTGATGGGATATCCTAGTTGTGGTTACATAAGAAACAAAAGTTAACCATCAATCAACTAGCCTAACCAATTTGGTGGAGAAAAAAGTGAAACTACCAAAATAAGTGAATTTAATCTATTGCATGAAACTTCGGGCAAAAAAAATGTTTTGGCAGACAAAACAGGAACAAGAGATACAATATCATTATTACTGCTATCAAAAAACAAACTGGAATCTGTGGAAGAAAGTTTTGTCCTCCAATGGAGATTGAATGTTTACCTTTTATTCCCAAACAGGACATAGCACTCCAGTGGACAGGATTCTTCTTCACACGTCTGAACCCAGATGATCCCTTTATCCTTCCATCAGTATCCCCATTCTCCTTTGCCTCACATTAGTATAGCTTCACATTCAATGATTGCCAAAGTCATGATCACTATCAGCTAAGCAGATTTAGCAGAGGTTCACTTTCCTATCCACATCAATTACCCTTCTCCTTCCTTTCAGGATTACTGTATATTAAAACCTTACTACAATAGCCTCCCCCTCCTCCCCCAATCCCCTTTTGAACCAACAACTTTCCTAAATAAAAATGGCAAATATCGAGATACGGAAAGGATTATTTCTCTGTGATGCAATCCTGACAATTTAGCAAATTATTTCAGACACAGTTGCTACCAACGCACTGAATTTGCACACCTCATTGCCATGGGCAAGCCACCTAAAAATTAAAGCTGGTGCAACTCTTTTTTTCTTCAGTAGAAAAGAGGCATATAGCAGCCAGTTCATACACCTTAAGAGGCAGTTGCAGAGGGCCAGGAAAGTTGTGCATCACAGGCTAAACTCATGGGGGCAGCAATCTGGTAGGCCAGCCGGGGTGCTTTTCAGCCACATCTCGGCTGACCATTTCTAACCATGGAGGGGGGGGGTTGTTAAGTAAACCATTATCGTCTTATAGTCGAAGAGTTGAGCCAAGCCCCTCCTGTGGCTGTCACACCAAAGGTGGCCTCCAGCCCGATGCCCTCCGTTCTTCCATGCCCGTCCAGAGGCCTCCCTCCCTCCTCGATTTTCGGGTCCTTTCGCTAGAGGGGTACCTGCTCTACGGTGGCCGGGTCCATGCTCTCGATGCGGGCTGCCGCCGTCTCGTACTCGTCTTCGCTGTTGTAGCCGGCGCCGACCTCATCTTGCTCGGGACTATTGCCTCCCCCTCCCCCAGGCCCCGCCGCCCCGCCGAGCCCAAGCCCGCCGCCGGGCCCCCCCTGCCGTCGCCGCTTGCTGTGGCCGGGCCCGGAGCAGCAGCCGCCGCCTACTCCGCCCCGCGCTTCGGCCGCTCCGGGGTCGAGTAGGCCGAGGCCGGGCCCGTCGCCCCCGGCTCCAACACCGGGATTGGGCGGCGGAGGGGACCCGGCGGGGGGCAGTCCCCAGCGCGGCGGCGGGGGAGGAGGCGAAGCTCGGGGACGGGCTCCGCCGCGACCGGAATGCGGATCCCCGGGTCCGACGCCTCCTCCGACGCCGACGCCGCGCGGGTGGGAATCGGCGCCGGGGCAGCCTCGGGAATCAGGGCCGCCTACGCCGCCGGGCCCCCCTGGGCCGCCGGGGCCTCCCCCTCTCGAGCCGGGCTGGTCCCTATCTCCGTCTCCGGCAGCCGGGCAGGCCTTCTTCTTGGGCAGGATCGTCATGGCCAAAGCGAGAGGACGGGAGGGAAGGGGGCAGGGAGGGGCAGGGAGGAGGAGGAGCGCCGAGGGACGAGACCCCCGGGCAGGAGCCTCGCGGAAGGAGCCGCCTGCCTAAGGCAGCGGCGGCGGCCAGAGGAAGACCGCCGAGGGCCGACCGCCGCCGGGTGCCCGGATGAGGAGGGCTAAGCCACGGGCAGGTTACCCGGATGAGGAGGGCTCGGGGAAGGTGGGGGGGGGGGAAAGAGACAGAGGGAGGCAAGGGCGACGTCGGGGGCGAGGAGTCGAAAGGGACGGCCGAAAGCAGAGGGAAGTGCCCGGATGACAGGCTCAAGCACAACGTCTGGCCGTCCCACGGCAACTCGGCTCGGGCTCAGCAGGGAGGCGGAAGGAAGCGAAGCATTCAATCCCCAGGAGGAGCCCGAGAGGGAAGCGGCCGTCCCGAGCGGCCCAGTTTGGCTGAAAGGGCCTTTCCCCGCTGGCGCCTAAAGCTTCCGGACCTCTCGCGGTCTCCTGACAGCGGCGTCTACTATGGCCCATCTATGGGCCCGGCCTAGTGTCAACATCAACACAGCCGGCCTCTGACCCCGGCGAACTCGACTTCCGTTTCCACGCCCCTTAGCTACAGCTGAGGCGGTCCCTGGGCAGACCTTAGCAACCATCCCTTTCTTAATGGTTGAGCGGCACGTGATTTAAACATTCACGGGCCGGTAGTGACGGAAGTCCTTCCCTGAGTAGTCAGCTTTACTGTCATTTAGCTTGTTAACTCTGCCTTTTTATTTTTCCTCCTCCCCGCTCCACCGTTGACCGAGGGAGGGAGGCGGGAGCTTTTAATCACGCTTAGCGGCAGACTTCGTTCCGATAGGGCTAAGGGATATAATTACCGTTCCTCAATTCGTCAACAAATGCAAATCTCATTTGTAATTGGCGGAAATGGGCAGAGTCTTTCTGATTGGCTGGGGGGTTCTCCCGGGTGTAAAAATTGATAGGTTGAGGCAAAAGTTCTTGCGGCTTTTTTTTTTTGGTGTGCCGAAATTCTTCGATCTGATTGGTTACTGCGCGCTTCCGAGTGTCCTGATTCCTAAACCGTCCAGATCAAGAAAGTGTGTTCCGGTGCTTTATATTCGTTTTCTTGAACTCGATGTTATCCCAACAGTTGAAACTACAATTCCCAGAATACTTACTCAAAGGCCGTCCTTTCTGGGTATACCGGGAATCGTAGTCCCAACGGTTCTTACTGTGCCGACTGTGTCTCCCTGTGTTTTGTTGTGAACAAAAAAAACGTCCAAGGTGAACTAAACAGGTTGTTTTTCTTGAATAATTATTTTTAAAGCGAGGAAATGAAAATGAAATTAGTTTTCATTTTATAGACGTACTTAGACAAATAGCTCCTCTACGGTTTTGGAGCTTATTAAATACAATATAATGGCAACAAATATGGCCAAAAACATGGTTTTAATAGAAGCTTTCCAAAAGGGAGGTGTACTTTCCTTTGAGAGGTGCAGAGACAGTCTAGGGGTGGTATGAAGAATCTTTTAGTTAATAAATCCACCTAGCTTAAGGTTTCGTTGTATTGTTTTCATTATTCATTTTGTGTTCATTTCGGTGTTTGGATTTTTGGGGGGTGTGATTGTCTACATTAAGATAATACTAAAGGCAAAGTGATGGCAATTTTTTTTAAAGAAGTAGCTGTTTTAAAAGGGCCTTTTTAATACATATGGCCAAAATTTCTAATGGATATTGCACACGATACTGAATTTAGAAGCATGGTTTCTGTTAGTAGTAGCAGCTAAGAAACCAGCTGCAAGTATCTGGATGACTTAAACTAGATGGCATTGAGAAGCAAGAGGTTTCTTTATTTTTGTTATCTCTGGGCTGTAATCTAGCAGTGACCCAGATTTTTGTAACAGAATTTATCTGTACAGGTAAATTCTCAATTTACAACCATTCATTTAACAATGGTTTGGAATCACAATGGTGCTGAAGGGACCTATGATGTGTCCTCAAAGTTATGACTGTTGCAACAACCTGCAGTCATGTGATTGCAATTTGGATACCTGGCATTCAGGATGGTTGCAGCATCCTGCAGTCATGTGACTGGGTTTGTGAGCTTTCCACCCAGGTCCCAACAAGCAAAGTGGATGGGGGAAACTGGACTCCCTTAATGACTGCATGATTTGCTTAACCACAGTGATTCACTTAAGAACTGCAATAAAAATGGGGTCCCGTCACATGATAACTCGCTTAATAATTGAATCACTTAGCGATCACACATTCTGGAAATGTATGACCAGAGACAACATTTGAACCTCACTGTGAGGTGAGGATATAACCTCACTGTTATATCCAAATTATACAATTCAAGTTGTTTTGTGGAAGCAGAGGACAGAATGTGTTAAAATAGCCCTGTTCAAAGCTGTGTGATATTTGCACAGAATTCCCCACTCTTTTCCTGATAACTGATTTTCAGTATTGGTATCCCCCAAATATGTTGAAGCACCTCAAAATTCCTTAGTAGCAATACAGAGCACTAGTTTAAGAAGGCTGATTTCAGGTTTTTATATGCTTAGATGTTAATCACAGTAAAAGATTTCTTGATTCAAATTACCCTAAATGAATAAATAAACTGTCCTTATTTTAAGGATGAGGTTTTTAAAAACCAAATGTAGTGATGATATACTTCAATTCTATATCCATTCATACGGATCTACAAATCTTACACATGTCTAGGTATCAGCGTAATTTCAAAAATAATAATTTACATCAGCCCATTTAGACTTGCCTTTCCATGCCAACAATGTATGCTTTAAAAACATTGTTTTTATTGAGAAAGATAATCTGGTTGAAGTTTTTCTTCTTTTTTTCTAGATTTTAATTAGAAAATGTTTTATAGAATAATAATTTGAATAACTTTCCAAATGATATTTATAATGGAAGTGGCTGGTATATGACCTCAATAAGTCGTTATATTCATTCCCAAATTCTCTAATACCTTCCCTACATGAAATAAAAAGAGCACAAAGCTGCTTTGGAGCTCTCATCCAATGTTGTTTATTGGCACAAAACTACAACAGTGTCCATCTTCTCTCTTCAACATCTTCTCTCAAAGTATACTTCAGTAATGATGCCTCCTGACCCTCCATTAACCCCATCCCATATGCTTGACATATTTCTCCCTCAAAATACACACAATCTCCCTTCAGTCCAGATCAGTTTTGTTTCTCCTATTTGTACCCAAATAGGAACCTGAGTTGATGTGAAACTACAATTATACACATCACAAACCCACACAGCATGAGAACAAAGGGAATTCTTTTCTAGTCCAACCACTTTTCTCATTCCTGCAGGGCTAAGAACCTTGTTATATTGAGGGCTAAATCCAGAATATTCATATATTCAGGAAAATGGACAAGTAACATTGTCCCAGATTATTCCATCATCTCGAAAAGTGAAAGGATTTGTTTGCATATCAGAAACAAAAGTCAAACGCCTTGCATATGGTGAATTCATAAGTTAGAGAAAGTTCCTTCTAGTTTTTTTTGGTGACTTTTTTTTTTCACTCTTAAGAGAGGACCATTCAGACTTGTACCTTTACCACAACATTCTTGAAGCAGTACATTATCTAATCCAGAAAAAGCTTTGCAAGTGGATTCTGATGCATTGTTATTAGACGTGTAAGAATTCTCATATATACTTATGGCCTTCATTAGAGACAGATCACAGACGGAAATCTGGAGATTGGAGAAGGGAACTATGTGGAAGAAAATACAGATTGCCCTTTGCATATAGTAAAACCTGGGAATATTGCTATCAGTTTCATGAGGATAGAGAACTTTTGTTCAATTTAACTCTGAAGCAGTTGGACACTGAGTACTATGTTCTACATTTAGGGTGGTTATAAGTGAGATTTTCATTGTGCAGTTGGGCTGCTTTATTCCCAGAATGCCTGCTAGCACCATTAATGGAAAAAAAAACCCAAAAGATTTCAGGAAAATGAACAAACTATATTCTGTTCCTGAGCTGTCTGCATGGTTTTTTTCAAGCATTTGTACTTAAAACTATCGTTGAATTTCCAGTTCCCTTAAGAGATAAAAAAGAATAAAAGACATATTCTTTTCCTTTGATATCATTCAGATCCCAGTTTGTTAAAAGTACATTTGTGATCAGCATTAAAGTGCACAGAAGAAAATTGACAGCATTTCTTTTAACTATCCGACACATGGAGATATTGCTTTACTTGTGGTGTGGGAAACTGGTGCATAAATGAACAGCAGCCCTGAGAAACAAATGGAGAGGAAGAAAGGGAGAAAGGCCAGAGTATGTGTTATGTGGGTCTGTCTGAGGGTACTAACTTTCAGCATCCTGTGGTCCCAATTTCATTGCATTCATATTCGCTAATATACTGCTGCTTTGCAGGCCTCCAGTAGAGCAGGGTTTTTTGTAATTTGGCATCACCAGTTCCCATAATTCTTTAGCGTGGCCAAATTTCATGCTGGCTGAGGAATTGTGGGAAACAGCCCAGTATATGTGGAGGGCATCAATTTGTGGAAGACTGTAGGACATCCTGTAAGTTGTGTCTTAATTGACTGGTGATTTTCAGCTGTCTCATAATAGGTTATTGTTATTCCAGATACATATCCAGGAGAGAGAATCCAATATAATTAGAAAAAAAAAACAAACACCAGAAAACAGTCAAGATGGACACAGAACAAAGAAGCCATTCCTGTTTGAGAGAAAATCCTTTTCTGGACATGAGAGCTGGCCAACTTGATGCATGCTATGGGCCTTGTGGCTGGTCTGATACCTAGAACGGTATCCATTATCCCACCAAAGTGCTTTTTCTTTTTCTCTGCCTTCTGCCATCTTTAATTCCTTCCCCAGTTATAGTGCTTGGTTAATATCAAGATTCAGTCTTTCTCTCCCTGCTTATTTAATCCAAAAAATGTCTGTAGAAGAAGGATGGCCACATAGACCATTGTTATCCTGCTCTGCAGAGTTGGTTCAGTTCTTCACAGCGTATCTTCCATCAGGGTGGCGAGATGAGATGGGAACCCAGCTATACATGCATGTGACAGTTTGCAGCTGTGGACTTGGGATCTCACTCTTGGAGGTATAATACACATGCACAGTCTTTATGCTACACAATGTGGGGAAGTGCAGGCTTCTCTTTGTGTTTGTTTGTGTGTGTATGTATGGTTGGGATCATAGTACATGAGATTCCCATGAGGTGTAGCATTTTGGTGCAATAGACTTTTTTTCTTTTAAAGTGCAGTTTCCAAGAGACAGAACAGGTTTTGGGAGAGAAGGAGAGAGAAAGAGAAAAAGTGGCAGCTGGGGTTTTGGGGAAACTTTCAGGCTCCATCCACCCCAGTGATGTCATGGCTTAGCCAGGAGATAGAAAAATTGTTGGAAGCTTTGTTGATTCTGTCTCTTTTTCCCCTTTTTCATTTCCCTCCTTAAATCTTGCAAGCATCTATGGGTCATTGCTCTAATCACTCCACAGCAGTTTCTTGACTATGCTGGGGACAGAATTAATTAAAGAGGTTTTCTCTTTCTTGAGAAACCTAGACCTTGAGGACTAGGTTTTCTGAGTTTTTTGGCTGTACATTCAGGCAACTCATCTGTCCGCCCTGGCCACACTAATGTAGGAAATCTACGATTTCACCATTTAGATTCTTCTTCCTTTCCAAAGCCATGAGTGCCAAAGTCCTTGATTCCTTTCCTGCTCTAGAATCTAAAGCCTTCTTCATTTCTACAGTTAAGAGAACAAAAAATAGGAGTCTTAGCTCATCCTTGTTCACAACTTCAGAGACAAGAGGTTTGGTATTGTGAAAACTATCTAAAGGGTAAAAAACCCATCCCCCATAGCTGGGATATGTTCCTGAGTACCCCAGAGATCCATCTACTGTGACCCAGTTTTCCCTGCATTGCTCTACTCTTCTGAAGTTGCATAGCATCTGGGATCCACTTCATCTCCTCTATGGCTTTGACTGCTGGGGTATGGGAGTTGGGCAGGCACCTCTTACGTAAGAACTTCCTGTGTTGGTAGGTATCAATGTCACCCTTAAAAAGAAAGCTGATTCCCTCTGATCTCCTCCAGGTTGCAGCAACAGGATGGGGTGGAACACTGATGTGGAAGATCCCATCCCCAGATCCTAAATAAGACTTTGTTGACCAACAGGGACTCCAGAAAGAGAAAGGATCACCAACCCGACCCCACCCCAGCCTCCTCTTACAAGGAGGAGATTTTGACAGTCTCGTGAAGAAGGTATGGAGGGGAAAGGCTGGAATTGCGTACAGGTCCACCAGGGCCTCTAGGTGACGGAGGCTGACTGTCATCTGGTGTGTTGGCAGGAGGAGTGGGGATGCAGATAATGGCAGCTGTGAAGTCAGTGGTGTCACAGTTCAGCTTCAAGTTGTCGTGGGTTTTGGCATTCAAGTTGGAGCGACTAGAGAAGCAGAAGACAAAGGAAGGAAGGGAGAGAGAAATTATGAATGCAGAGGTCATCCCAGCCTCAAAGTATGAGATTCTTTAATAACAGACCTTGGGTGGACAATCAAAAACTTTCCAGATATTGCTGAACAATAACTCCCTGCTCTCATGGCCAAATGCTGAAGAATGCTAATAAACGTAGCCATATCTGGAGCTCAGCGACGGGCTGAACCACAAAAATCCCTAACAAATATTAAACAAAAGGTGCCTGTTGTACAAATGAAGTGACTTCAGACAATATTTTTCTGAAGCTGCTGAGTGAACTTTAGTCTTCCTTATAGAGCTGTGGTTACAAAGGTCTATGGCAGAACACGGATTCTCCCAGAGACCTGATCCCAACATTTTAATTATTTTGAAATGTATTATGTCCATCTTCCATAATTTGTTCCCTGTCCAATCCTTGGTACAGTTTCCTCAGCTGTTTATAGTCCATCAGCAAATAATCAACAGTTCAATTTAGTATATATTTAGTGATAACCATCCATTATATTTCAGAGATAGAGTCCAAAAGCAAAGCTGCTTTATCTTCAGTTTGCTTGTATTCCTTCAGTCTCCTCGGTCATCGCTTTTTAAAAAAACACATTTTATTAAACTCCAAAAAGAAAAAGAAAGATCATAACAGTAAAACAATAGCAGGCAAAAATTAAAAATTAATATGTTTCAAATGATACGAAATCACATGGCTTGATTTACAGGATGATCCCTGCAAAGACTTTAATCATATTTAGAAAGGATGAATGGAAAAAAAGAGGAGGGGGGGGGAATGCTCATGCTGAGATAAATGATAGTCTTAAAAGAATATATAGATCAGCAACTGGATTCACAACGTCCGCTAAGACATAAACAAACAAATCACTTTGTAGCTGTAAACGGCAATATTTACAGCTACAACATTTGTTAACAACATTGTTGGATCAGCAGCATTTTCAGGTTTTGAGACAGTTGAGATTGTAGAACAACTTGTTAAATCCTATACAACTAAAAAAACATACTATTCATTCTTATAGTTGTTATTGGTAAATCAATTTGATATGCAGATGATAAGAAATGAAAGGAATAAAAATTAGAGGTTTCTATTTTGCCTAGATGATGGGGAGTTTCTTCACTTCTATAAGCAAGAGTGTCCATGGATCTTAAACGAAGACTTATACAACAAAAAATATTTTTTAAAATTTATTGGACTCCACTATGTTTGTATAGAAAAGACTAAGATGTAATAAGGATAATGCTTTTTAAAAAATACATGATTTTACAATGTCCTTTATTTGCTAAATGTTGGGAGAAAGTAGTGGACTATACAAATATGACTTTTGGACAAAAGTTAAAATTTTCGGAGGATAATATTTCTTGAATGACATACCTACTACATGGAATTTGTCAGGTGGACAATGTAAGTGGCCGTTCCTGGGGCCAAAAGTAGTATTGAAAAGATGAATGTGTGGCCCTTTCACTGGATTGAAGACCTGATTACACTTGCCACCTTGGAGCAGATTGACTACAGACATAGACTTTGTATGGATAAGTATAATGAGATATGGAACTCATTTTTATAAAATGCAGTAGGTAAAAAATAATGGTTATATAAATGTAACAGAAATAAATATACATATACTTGAATAATATTTACATTAAATAAGTTTAGACAGTATATATTGTAACTGTTAATGTTATATTATACTTTCTTTTTTTCTGTGCTATTTTTAAACTTTTTAAAGCACTTTTCATGTATTTTTCCTTTGCGAAGGTATCAATCATAATTATCTTTGTGTTTTATTCATTTTCTTTTTTGTTACTTTTATAAACAATAAAATAAAAACAAGTCACATTTGGCTTAGCACAATGGATTCAGCCTCTGTGAAGGGAATTTCTTTTACTAAATGAAAGATTTTTCAATCATTTGAACTACTGCGAATTATAGCCCAGCTCCACTCCAACAAGAAAGAGACCAGTTATTTAACAGAATACAAGAGTGAAGTGAGGGAATTGGAACTGTACATATCCTTATCCGATGATTCCTGTTTTTTGTTCGTAAATATGTAGCACCCAATGTTTCATGTGGCCTGTCCCCCTTGTGCCGGCAGAGGAGGCATGCTGTGGGTCCCATCCAGAGGTGTGTTTCAGCAGGTTCTGACCAGTTCTGGAGAACCGGTAGTGGAAATTTTGAGTAGTTCGGAGAACTGGTAGTAAAAATTCTGACTGGTCCCGCCGCCATCTATTCTCTGCCTCCCAAATCCCAGCTGATTGGGAGGAAATGGGGATTTTGCAGTAACTTTCCTCTGGAATAGGGTGGGAGTGGAGATTTTGCAGTAACCTTCCACTGGAGTGGGGTGGGAATGGAGATTTTACAGTAAACTTCCACTGGAGTGGGGTGGGAATGGAGATTTTACAGTATCTTTCCCCTGCCACATCCACAAGCCATGCCCACCAAGCCATGCCATGCCCACCAAGCCACACCCACAGAACTGGGAGTAAAAAATTTTGAAACCCACCACTGGTCCCATCAGCCCAATTATTCCAGCTGGCAAGGTCCAGGAGGAGGGCCTTCTCTGCTGTTGCTCCTGCCCTCTGGACTATCTCCCCCCACCCCATATGGGGTTGGCCCCAACCCTCCTATCCTTTCATAAGAGTCTAAAGACCTGCCTCTGCCAGTTGGTTTGAGGGCCCAACGGGGAAACAGCACAGTGGAGGTGGTTGATCGAGTAACAACAGGTCTCACCTCCTCCCATTCCACTCCTGCCCCATGTATCCTTAGGATTTTAATCTTTAGCTTTAATTTATGTTTTAATTTAGATATATTTTTTATGACTGTAAGCCGCCCAGAGTTACCTTCTGGTAAGATGGGTGGCCATTAAATTTTATAAATAAATAAATCTGAATCAAATGCTTATATTTTGTGAGCATCCTAATAGACTTTCCATATTTTGACGTGACTATTATGGTGGGTCAATCATTTGAAAGGAAGACTCTATTTGATCTTCTTCAAGAGACCAAAAAAAAAAAAAGACAGCATAAGTGATATAATACAGTATATGTGTGCCAACAGGGAGGGAGGGACTGAGGAAGAAAAGAGGGAGGGAAGAAAGGAAGTCATTTCAGGGAAGCTAAAGAGATGAATACTTCTGAGGTAAATTTTTCACACCTATTGTGTTCCATTCAAGTATCAGAGGTTTTAATGGAATGAAAACTTGCCTCTGAAGGCTTCCTGTTTGCATTGCTTTTCCTTCACCAGTGGTGCTTTCAAAGGAAAATTATTCTTAGTCATGCATGAGCATTTTAAAAGCTCAGCCAAGGCTGAGGAGGTGCATCTTTCAGCAGATACAGAATGTAATTCTTTCCTCATGATGTAACCCAATTTCAGAAATGTCCCAGTAAGGGATTTAACACTTTTTTTTATTCACCTCTCTTCATTTTGTAATTTTTTCTTTATACAATTTTGTGTTTATCTGTTTCACTTTGTAAAATTGTATATAATATTTTTTTTAAAAAAAATAAAGAAATATACAGTAAAAGGGGGAAAAGTTTTAAGTCAAAGCATAAAAAGGAAGTTTACCACTGATGAGGTCCAGGCAACAAGCTAAACAATTACGGTAAATACAGTTTACAAACACTGGCTGCATTCATACAACATACTAAAACTGCCATAAATAAACTAACCACATTGTGGCTTACTGTGTGTGTGATCTAAATGGCTGGGTTCACACAACTGGCTAAGTTGTAGGCCATGGTTTGCAAGCCACAATTAGCTGAGTTCACATCAGGCAAAAGGGCTTTGGAGTGCAATCCTCTAACATCTCTATTGTGACCCATACAGATGTCCAAGTGCTTGGGTTATAATATTTCAGACCCTGGCTTTGAATGTTTTTGTGTTTGGGAAAGTTATGGAGCCATTTGTGTGCTTGAAACTTTTCAAAGTCTTAAGCACTCATTTCACTTCTTAAAACCCCTGAACCCCATGGAGCATTTCCTCATCTACTTTTGGAATACAACCTTGCTGAGTTAAGTCGGCTGTGGCTTTCAAATAAAGAAAGACACACACCTCTGAGTTAACCTAATGTGTACATGCCAAGTTAGGGCAATGATTAGTAGACCTTTCTAATTCTAACCTAATGACTTTGGTGACTCTTGGTTCGATACTATTCCTCTGGTGTTGCCATTCTTCTACCAGGAGGTGGCAGAAGATCCATGACTTCAAAAAATAAGCCAAGTGTTAGGCTGAAGGTCTCCAACATTGTTGAATTCAGTTCCTAAGTACTAGCCTTAATTTCAGCAAGACTCATGTTTCTTACTCATGTCTATTTATGTGAGCCGTTTGCAGCCTGAGAAAGTCCCGACATTTCAAGATCGCCTGATGGGACCCTTTTGTGCGGCACAGACTGTTTCCCAAAATAAAACGATAGAATGGTATTGGTGGATAATGGACACGGGGTAGCCCAGGGAGGAAAAGGGGAAGTTTAACTATGCTACCTTTTGCGCCAAAGCCTCAGAACCGACTTTGCTTCTTCTGTACCTATATGGATCTATCGGTAAAATAAAATCTTGGTAAAATAATGTCCCAGGAGTTTCTTTTGCTGTATATGCCAATGGGAAAGTTGACTCTTGACTCTTGGTTTGGTACTATTCCTCTGGTGTTGCCATTCTTCTACCAGGAGGTGGCAGAAGATCCATTATTTCAAAAAGCTGTAAGAAACATGAGTCCTGCTGAAATTAAGGAATTGAATTCAACAGCAGCCTAACATTTGGCTTATCATTCATATATTAAATTCATCTCAGCTACCTTCTTGAGTTGCTGACCGTGTCTCCTGCTGATCTGTCTCTTGGGTACTGTTGCTTCCATATTTCAGACCCCAAGGAGGTTTCCTTGGTCTCCTGTGTCCTCCTGTGTCCTAGGGTGTGTCCTAGGGTTTTTCCACCTATCTGCCCGTTTTCCCTTCAGCCCTTAGGCTGCTGGGATCCCTG